AAAATAATTGGCCACTTTAACATTTTACATATGAGTATCTTGATACATGTGCAAAAAAGAGGTAGTACTTGCTTTGTTCTTTTGCTTTAGCTTTTGTGCTGTTCTTATTTCCCAGTAATTGCTGATCTTGCATGTTTTGCTCTATGTTAGCAAGAATAATAGCCTTGAATTTAAATGCTTTGCTTTTATGGAAATGGCCTTCTACTGGGTGAACATAACTGAAGATGTAGGTCTGTATCATATGTGCCTTTGAAGTTAATTTGGAGGAACTGCATGTGTAGAGCCCTTGTTGTTTTGTAACCCATTTAGATGTTAAAGGACTGAAGTCAGGCACAGTCTTGAGCTATTTGCACATTTCATTCAGGTTCATCAGTCAGTTGTCTCAGCATTCACCTGCTTTTAATGCAGCAGCAGTTTTTACTCATCAGTGCCTCTGTAAAACATTGAAATAGAGTATGTGACTGAAAATATTCAGCAGTGAAAATAGTCTCTGTATTTGAATCATGGCCTGGATGAACCACGTGTTTCCTTGTGGGAGAGTGAGGAAGCATAAATTTAGACTATTGGGAGAACACATTCTTCAGCTTGATTGGAAACAAGAACAACAAAGTAGTTATTCCTGAATAAAAGCTGGCTGAAAGAGGAGAAAATTCAGGGGTGACATTTATTTTGCAAAATTTTCTCTGGCATTTTTGTTTTGTGACATGTTGGATTTTATCTCATTTCCAGATGTACCTTTGCAGGCTGGTAGGGGGTGGAGTGTAAGTCCAATTTCTGTGTTGGTTAGCCTCTCTCTGAGCTCATTTCCAACTTCCTCATCTGTTTCCAGGCTGCTTTGCCTGTAGACCAGCCAATTATCTAGACACTATGCAGTCTTGGGGAGGAGTTCTGTCTTCAGGTTTTGGGGTTGAGAGTTGTAAGTGGAGTTTCAGAATTTCAATTCAATATTGTTCCAGTACTCCCTGGTCACCAGAGTTCTTTTAAGTGTATGTGAACACTTTGCTAGCAGACTGCACTTTTACTTTTTTTTTTTGATTTAGAAGTGAGGTCAGGAATTGGGAGATTTTTAATGTTCTGACATGACTTTAGTTTTTGGCTGCAAATGTCAAGTGAGTTTAGCTTTTGTTTTGTTTTTACTGATTTGAATGCATGAAGACATGTGGTACCTAAATTAGGGCAGCAGAGGAGTTGCCAATCAGTAATGAAAATGCTCTGTCATTTTACCTGTGTGGGTGCTTAATCATTTTCCATAATAATCCTCTGCTTTAAAGTACAAAAGAAAAGGGATTCCTACAGGGGCATTGTGTTCTTCTGCAGACAGGGAAATATGGCATCTTTCAAATAGTGAAGAGATGCTTCTCTCCTCTGGTGCCTTAATTCTGAGTGGATTATAATAACTATTCCTTCTTAAATATGGCTTTTCCTCTTTTGACATCAGAACACTTAAAAAAGAGCATAATGTCACAGAAACAGAAGCTGACGCACAAAAAATTAAATTGGCCCAACCAAGGTAACTCAACATGTCCACAGAGGAGTCAAGAACAAAATTCCCATTTCCTGAGTCCCAGGCCAAGACTCTGCCTTGTAGGCTTGTGGCTCTTGATGATTATTTTGAGTTAATCTCACTGCCATTCTTTCCCTCTCTCCTTGCTCTTCTTTCCCCCTCACTGCTGATTGCTGTTTCCACCGCTCCTGCTTGCATAACCCATTTTCCAAACTCATCCTGAGTCCTTCTCGTTTCCCACCTCCTGAGCTAGTGCCTTTCCTCCGGTCACCCACTTGCACTGATGCCACCCCAGCAAAGCGTGGCCCCTACTGAGCTGCTTTCCCTGGTCTTAAGCCTTGTCTGCTGTTGTGCTGCTGTGACTCACAGTCAGCAGCCTCTGCACAGGCTGTGTCATCCCTGCTAAGCCCTTTGAGTCCAGAGGCACTGCAGGTACCTCAGAGTGACAGCTGAGCTAACACAAATGTAACATTTTGCCTTTTGCTGCCCAAGAATTTCTAGCTTGGGCAGCAGGAAAAAAGAGGGAAGCCTTGGAGCATGCACTTTTAATATTTGGTGCCTGGAGATGTTTGGACCTATGCACTTGCATGAATTTTTTTAAATGTTTAAGTGAATGCTGAAAGTTGAAAACTTGGCTTTGCCAGGCTGAGACAGGGAAGATATCTTGTTATATAGCATTTGCCATGAAGAAAGTCGAGAGATGCAGTTCTGGACCTGGTTTTGAACATTCTGTTGAATTTGAATTCAAATATTGTTCTTGATTGCAAATGAACATTTTTATTTCCCTAGGAGAAAAATTGGGCACTTATAGTCCTAGATGAATGCAAAGGCGTTGGGAGTCCTGAACAGACAGGTATTTTATGCCCAAACTCAAGTAAGTGAGTGACTTAAAAATAACCTACATAATTTAAGCGTGTTTTCATGAAGTGAAGGTAGTTTGCGTGTGAGCTCAGAGGCAAAGTTCCTTCCAGGATTTATATGGAAAGTAGAAAAGTAGGCTGCTTTGTTTTGAAACTATGAAAGGGATATGCGAACTGGCAGGGTAGTATCTTCAGGATATCCTTTTTGTAAGCAGGTCTGTGCTCAGTTCTTTTTTGAATGCTCTTGCCTTAGCCCTGCTTGCTCTCTTCTGTATTTCAGTCGGCTCATTTGTCCTAGCAGACATTTGTTTCAGTGATGTATTTTCTTTTTGGCCCTGAAACTTTAAGGAGAGAGGAGGCAATTTACATGAAAAATCACTTTATCCAGATTAATGACTGCTGCACTTGACTCTTATCACAGCGGTTTTAGCTAGGGTGTTTTTTTTTTTTTTTTTTTTTTTTTTTTTTTTTTTTTTGTTATCACAGCGGTTTTAGCTAGGGTGGTGGTTTTTTTTTTTTTTTTTTTTTTTTTTTTTTTTTTTTTTTTTTGGTGGAGTGAGAAAGCAGAAACCTCAGAATTTTCTTCTGTCTAAAATTGCAGTTGTGGAGACACATCAGGTGGGTCCAGAAAAAATGAGTACCTTCATGTGGTCAGAGGAAAAGCTATATATGTAGAAGGTGTGGTTGAGCTTTATAGGTTAGCAAGTAATAAGCTGCTAATTAATTGCCAGTGGGTTCAGATGAAGGGCCAGCACTGGGTCTTAGAGCTGAGAACTCACTGCTGAAAGCTGAGTTTACAGAGGAGGAAACACAGATGTTCCTTTACAGCAGGAAACATGCAGAGTATAATTGAACTGCAAAACCAACCTCTGCTCTTACTTGCAATAGTATGAACTCAGAAGTAGCTGGTGGCATTACTGGAGCCTGAAGTCAGAATCTACCCACATGGATAGTTTTAATGCTTTAATAAAGACATGCACCTCCTGTAGCGAGAGGGGGCAAGCTTGAAGGAATTAATGTTTTAATCATAATACCCATGCAAAAGCTCCTTAACTGCAAGGCAGCTGGGATGATGTGGTAAATTTCCCTTAGGATTCAATGCAACAGCTTCTGAGATTTTCCACTTCTCTTGTTTCCCTCTCACCCTGTGTTGTCAGAGCTGCCACTGTTGTGCAAGGGGAACTCTGGGGTCAAACAGATCTTAAGCTTTAGAGCATCTCTTGAAGGGCAGTGGATGGTTCTGTTTCTGAAGGTTTATAGAAGTCACCCAGAAGACATGGTTACCTCAAATCAGAATGAGCAGAGGGGAACCTAAATGAAAACAAGAGTGGGGAGTGTAAAATGTAGCACAGCATGACAGTTGTACCCAGCCTGTTCTCTAAGGCTCAGATAGATGCAAAGTGCAGTGGAAGGTGAAGACCGACATGGGCTTTACAGGGCTGAATTGCTGGTATTCCTTATAGTAATGGAGAATTAGCACTGGGCCCTTGAGTTAGTGTTAAATAAAAAATGGGACAGATAAATCTATTTCTGGATTCTTAATACATTATAAGAGGAAAAGTTGTTCATTAAGCAAATCCTGGATGAATCTGGATCTTACCTCTGGAGGTAAGAAATTTATCTTCTGAGAATGACGGCATAGAAACAGTGTGAGAAAAATAGTTCTTGGGAGAAACTAAAGCAGAAATCAAGTACATAATGCTCTATCAAGGGCTACAAAGGATCTCTCTAATTACGTACAGCCTTTCCTCTATTCCTAAAACACAGTTTGAGGTCTTCCTTGTGTTTCTTTTGGAGTAGAGTTTTGTGACGACAAGGTCCAGCTGCAGTTGGGTTTTTTTTGTGTATAATTTAGCACTTACCAGAGCCAGGAGTGTTTCTTCTGGGTTTTTTTTTTTTTTTTTGGGTTTAATCTCTACTTCCTCCAGATCGTAGGGATACTATTCCTTTACATTTCCATTCCCATCAGTAGTTGCAGATGCTGTAAGTTGCCTAGAAGATTGACAGCTCTTTTGAAGTTCCTCACATGAGAATAAAGGTGTGTATCCTTCCTTTATAGAAGTACTTTACCAAAAATGCTCAGGCAACTAGAATGCTCTTGGCACATAGTCCATAATTGTCATTTGTAGCATTGAAAATTGAACTTAATCCCATTGTGTTTCTCAGATCTTACTGGTGCATGTTTTGTGTGGCAAATCAAGTGTGACTCGGACACCTGGATTTCTTTCCATTTTGGATCAGGTGGACTGGTGTGGCTCAGTGATGAACAAGTGAAGGACGGGGCCCGAAGAAGTAAGAAAAACTGAATTCATTTAATCAGCTAAAAAGACAAACATTTATTATTGTTGGGGAGGGAAAAGGAAGATACCTAGATCATTATAGGGGTTTTTAATCTTCCCTTGTAAAATTACTAATGGTGTGAATTCTTTAGACATCGGTTGTATCAAGTGTTTGCAGGCTTCATTTATTATCTACTAACCAAAATTAGCATTGTAGAACCAAAGCAATACCAAGCTTTTCTCCTACATTTCTGTTGAGAACACTGTATTTATTCAAGATTTTAGAAGCAAGTCTCTGGAAACCCCTGATTGCTTCAGAAAAGGATTCCCCTTTACACTATACAGCAGGCACTGAAACCATGATACAAAATTTATTTTCATGCTAGAATTGTTTTGCATAACATTGTGCATGCATTTTACTCAGTACTAAATTGCATACAATGCTGTTGTCTTGTTTCTTAAACTTTGAGACCATTTATACTTGAGTATTTTCCTGATTTTGTACTATAAGTCCCAGTTTTAAAATAACACCTCTTTTGTTTAAAATTCATACTGATTACTTAATATGAACAATTTATGAAGGGTCTTTACGTTGGATCTATACATCAATAAAATACAACATAACCAGAGCTGGAAAATTAACCAGCTGTTACTGTCAGGTCCGAAGGAAGGTCCCATGTGTCACAAGCATGCCAACAAAAACAGACAGGAAAAAGTTTTTCTTATTTTTATACACTTCTAGTTGGATTAAAAGTTCTTGATTTCCATGTCGGTGTGATGAACTGTGAAGGCGTGGTCAATATGACCGATGACTGCCTGATTGCACTTTTTAAAACCGTTACTCTTTATCTTGTATACAAAAAGAAGCGATCCATAGCAAAGAAATGTACAGTTTTATAATGTTTTACATTTTCGCTACAACAATGTATGTAAAAGTAAAGAGCTTTGAAAGAAAATATATAACTTTGTTTTTTTTTTCTTTTTCCTCCTTAATCATACATTTGCAGTATTTCTTGTGTGTGTGGTGTTGTTTTGTTTGTTGTTTTTTTTTTTTTTCATTTTCATTTTTGTCTTCATGCAAGTCATGCTTTGGAACAAAAAAATAGATTAAAAAAAAAAATCTTCTACAGTTTTGTTACATTTTGGCCGTAGAAAAAGCCTGCATCTCTAGTACAACTCCAGAACCACGAAGAATCATCCACAAAACCTGCATGGAGCGATTTAACTTTGTCCAAATGAGAAGGTCTTCTATGCCTGCACAGTTCCACAGAGATGTTTATTAGCCATCAATGTTCATCTCCATCTTGCCTTGTCAGGTCACTCTGACTGCCTCTGTTGGCATATATTTAGCAATGACTGGACTTTCTTTGCAAAGATCTGCATGTAAAGAATACAATCAGTACTTGAGCTTCTTCCCTGCGCTTTTCACATCAAGCTCGGCATCTTAGTGTTAAAGGAAGGAGGAAAAGGTGAAATAGCTACATGCAGAGGCAGCCATATTCTTCTTCAACAGGATTTTTTTTCCCATGCAGTCAGCCAGACTGAGACCTCTCTACAGTGTGTCTGAGTATTGCTTTCAGCTTAAAATAGGTGCCCATGCAAAGTTTCATCCTACTGTGCTTGTTTGCTCAAACTCCTGCAGGGTTCCTATGGCTCAAAAATATCCTGAGAAAAGCAAAATCTTCCATCGTTGGCATGTTTCAGCATCGACTAAACGCCTAACCCATTCCATACAGAGCCAGTAGATCCACCATTAGCCACAATAAGCATATACTAGCAGGATGCACCAGGAAGGAAGCCATCTGGTGCATCTACCCTTCATCCTATGTAGTGATACCATGCAGCACGTATGGCCCACCAGTACTACGCCAATGCCTGCCTATTGTCATCTGAGTGCTATTTAGGAGTGTTGTCACCTAAGCATCAGAAGTAACACCGTTTGCAGCGGGTGCTACTGTGAGACATTGCATCTTCAGACTTAGTCACCTGGACTATATGCAACATCGCATAGGCTAATTGAAAGTAAAGCTTTTTAGACCATTCTCTGCTACTGATCCATGCTACAAAATAGATGGGATGGGAGACCAAGAACGTCTCACTGGGCTAGGAGAGCTGTAGGGCGCAGACACTGAGGATAATCCTATCGCTTTTCCACTTATGCCAGCTATGCTGTTAAGGCTCCGTGACATTTCGTAACCTTCATTTAAAAGAAAAATGCAAAGTACAGCATTGGATCAATGACAGAATGGACTAAGAATGAGGTCAACATTGTAGCCAGTTCAATAGCATCTGCATGCATGGACATGCCGAGAGTAGTATCACTTGCAACATGACTCAGAAGGCCATTGGAATACAGAAAAAATTTAAAATATATACATAAAAAAAAAATAAATCATTTCTCAAGATGGTCAGGCTATGTAATTGATCCTACAGGCAGCAACATGGTTGTACCCTAAAAAAAAGAAGAGTCAGTGGGAGGGATTTTCTATGTCTCCGTCATATACTCACACATATGTCTCCCTTCCACTTCATGCATTGTGACCTCAGGCAAAATTAAGGTTTGTGGTATCTTTGTGGGGCAGGAGGGGGTCAAGGCAGCAAAATCCATAGAATTGAATGTGTTGCTATAGAGATACTACTCCTTTGTTCTCAGCAATAAAAAAAAAAAAAAAAAAAAGGAAAGAAAAGAAAAAAAAATTGCATGCATTCAAATTCCCTCCCTCCCCCCCTCCCTCCCCCCTTTCTTTTTCAGGCATGCACGTAAACAGCTCAGCAAGTGTACAGAGAGTTGCACAAACTATGGATGAAATTCTGTTGGAACAACAATTAAGATGCTCTCAACATGTTTCAAACAGGCCAACAATATGCTGACGTATATTACTCTTTAGCCAACCAGCCTCTGTTTCATTCAGGAACGAGAGGAGGTTGCAGTGCATCGTGAAAACCATACATTCCCCATCCCAAAGGATGTGCCATTTGGAGTGTTCCCCTGATCCACTGGAACCACCTGAACTCGCCCAGGCTGAATGAACACGGCCAATGCTTATCCAATACAGAATCAAGTAAAACGCTTTGCTACAAAGGTAAATTTTAGAGGATATACTTTCATATGAAAGTCTTGTGGTCCTACTATATCTTTGTTGATGATAAGCTTTAAACTTATAAATACATACACTATCTATAACTGGCATTTACTATAACTATTGCCCATCATACAATGGCACATGGGAATTCCATACTCCATACTCAGTGTATGGTTATGTCATACAATCTTTGCAGTTTTAAAATATTGACTCTATCTTATGCTATATACAGTACACCAGTGGTAAACACTGATTTGAAGAAAGTGAGTTCTTTTACAATTTTCCCATTCTTTATCAACTTTGATGCATATGGATGTAGCTCTAATTTTGGGTTTGTATGGTTGTCTCACATTAAATTATTTAAGCAAAACAGTCTCTTTTAAGAAGGGAAGGGTTTTTAAATGGAATTTTACTTCTGTTGCTAAATAGATTATTCTGACCATTAGCAAACTACTTCTGAGAGATTCCTACCTGTCAGAAGTCTGAAAAGCTAACTAATAATGATTTATTTATGAAAGGATTTTAGATGGATTTATTTTCTGATTTTAAGACACCTGTGCCAACAGATGTTCATGCTTTTCTTTCTCTATTGAACTAACCAGCAATGAATATCCAAATATTTTATTTTAGTGCTCTGTTAAGGTCACTAAATAATAATTTCTTTTTTTCTTGAGTATATTTTGCTTTTGTGTTTTATCTATTCTGTCTGCCACCTCCAAGTCTGTGCTCCTCAGAGTCTGGTAAGCTCTGTGAGCTTTCCAAGTGACAAACCTTCATAGCTATGAATTGGTCTCTCCTTACGGGATGGGCTAATTTAAGGATATAGTAGAGCATCTTCCACTAAAGCTTTCTGCACCAGCTGGGGTGGAAGACTCGACTGCCTAGCATAGCTGCACAGGGTAGTTACAGCTCCTCAGGCTTTTCTTTCTGAAAGAAATAGGTTAGAAACTCCAAATGCAGACATCAGGTGGTGGTTTCCAGCCCAAACGTGCATCTCTACAGCAAGCGCACTATCGCGTGCTACAGCTAAGCTGACTTTCTCTTAGTTATTTAAACCGGTTGCTAGCTACGTGGTTACAGGGCCCCAGCTACATACCCTTTCTTATTCCTCCATCAGGCGGGCAGGGATATTCCCCGGTTGATAAGAGGAAGCAGGGTCCATATCTCTCCCGAGTGCCAGAGCGGGTAAAGGGCAGGCCCTCATCGGGCGTAATAGCCTGGTCTATGTGGGGACAGTCTTCGTTTGCCAGCGCCGCCTTGGCCACCTCACCATTCAGTTTCGAATCTTCAAACATATAAGCAGAAGGCTATTGAAACACTATGCACTGTTTATTAGAGTTCCAGCTGCAAATTAAGGGTTCACAGCTAAAGACTTCTATAGCGACACACTAAAAGGTAGCACATCTGTCCTAGACACTGCGTTCGTGTGCACTGCACCAAAATAAAATAAAGTCTGTTAAGTGGGAGGAGAAACAAAAGGTGATCCCGTTAGGTGTGACAGCAGCCACCTGTACATCCGCACTGAGGGGCCCTTTCAGAAAGGGGCGTGCAGTGGTTCCTAGTCCTGCGAGCAGAAGACCGCGGTTAGAAATCAGAGTATGTTTTTGCATGGCATTGGATGGTGCATGAATGACCTGTTTGTCATGGTGCCTACTGTCGCTCAGAGCTCTGGAGAGGCAGTGGACTGAGAGTTGTGTTTGACTATTTGAGTATATTCTGTTTGTGCTGGTTTACACCCATGTGCGGTATTACTGAGGGGGAAATTCCTGCTCTTCCCCTCCCCAAAATTTACCCAGATGGTTTTATAGCATTTCTGGTATCAGTCATGCAGGATGGCTGTAAACGTTTTAGACACACAGAGTATGTTACGTATGGAAATACGACAGCAGAACGTGGATTTAAAGAAAACCCAATCCATTTTCTGATGTTCTCCTCTGAAACGCATACAGTAGTTGCAATGCCAGCACAGGACACTACATACACAAAACACTACAGCAGGCCATGAATTTGGAAACTAGAGTTCAATTTACTCTTGGCTGTAAATAATGAAAATAGGTTGTTAGATTTGCCCATTTTGCTCCACACATTCCCATGAGGATAGACTGAGAATCATGTTTTCTCTGTGTGACTGGTTTGTACATTTATAAAGTGCTATTTAGTGTAGGATTTTTTTTTTAGGATTTGAAAGTACAAATTGGTGTATTGAGAATATACTCGAAATATGGCACAGCTTGACATGAGTATTTTGGTTGAAGGGAAGGAAAAACAGTCAAAATGTGCTTTCTGAAGCTCCACAAATGCCGAGATATGTTAACTGAGTGGTACTGGCAGCATCCTACACCTCGGTTGCACAATGCTTATTACCTAGACACTGTAAGGCAATGGGTGATCCTGCAAGTCTTTAAAGAAAGAAACTCAATGGATAGACTTCATTTCAGCTCCCCTTCTACATTCATGTACTAGCTTGTTCTAAATGCTATGTAATATTGTCATTTAATTTGCAATTGTTTTGAAGCCAACTAATAAAACAAGCCTCAAAGAAAAATAAATACAGTTAGGTAGGGTTTGGAGGTATGATTTCGATCCTCTGATGGACAACAGATGAGTAGAAGGCAGAAGCATTTTCAAGTTATGTTTGTTGCTTCACGCGCACACGCACACACACAGACGTACATGACGCACACTATGCACCTATCATGCACCAGTAATTGCATTCTAGGCCTTTATTTTCTTCTATTTAGATGTCACTGGTTTGTCACAACATAAACAGTTGCTGCACATCTCACCTCTGCCTCCATTTTTCTCTGTTCAGAATTGGCCAATTATTTCCCCTGAGAGGGATGTAGTAATGTTTTGTTTTGTTCTGTGAGCAATGAAATAATTAGGTCTCTCAACACATTTAAAAATGTGGCAAAAGCTGTAGGGCCATTTTAATACTTGTAGACACTAATTTCAATAGGATTCTAAAGATTTAAGGTTTCACTGAGTTGCAATTCCTTTCTGTTCATAATAATCACTGCTATTTAATACCAAAAACCGAACAAAAACCTGGCACGGCTGCCATAGAAACCGTGACACTGCAGGTACTGAGCCGTGTATTTAAAAATCACTTAACTGTGTTTGGGGAGAGCTGCAGTCCTCCTGGGGAGGAGCAAAGAACTGGGCTGCTTCATAAGCCTCTACTGCTACAAGCTGGTGGCTCTAATCCTGAAATGAGGGAGGCAGCTGAGTCAGCAGACCTCTGCATTGAAATCTCTGAGACACCCACAGCTGCTCCTGTGTCCAGGTTTGGAAATGAAATTCTTGGTGATGGAGAACAGATTGATCCATTTCAGGAGCTCAAACAACTCTGAGCAGAGTGGTTATGGGTCAGCCTGCTCACTGGTTAACAGCCATTGATTCTTTTGGAAGCAGCTTGCAGGCTCCGTTGTGCTTGAATGGCAACAAAATTGACCTTCTTCAAATTAATTTCTTAAATTGCATCATAAATCTCTAGTAGCTTGAGCTGGAACTTGCTCTTACAGCCTCTTCAGGGTCCCTTAGCGCTGATGATTTTGCCTCTATGCTTGTTAAAATTCCACAACCTTGTTATTTTATTTCCATTCAAGAGGAAGAGAGCAGCTGGAGATGTGGGCAAATTACTGAACTATCCTAGTAATGTCCCTTGAACATTACAGTCATGGCCATGCCTTAGGGATCACATTCTGGATAGCCATGCTAATCCACAATGACAACTTGGGTAAATATTTAGGAAGCAGAGAAATTGCCAGCACAGAACACTGCATCTATTGCTGGTGTATATAAGTAAGTGCTAAGTAGAATAGTTGTGTTCCAAATCACTGGCTATAGCACCTAATTCTCTGGAGGTATGTGATTAGTCTGTTATGGGAGTAAAGAAAATGTAAACATCACTGAAGCCATCAGTCCACAGTTAAGTTCTCGATGTTTTAACTAGCAGATTGACATGCTGAACAATTTTAGGAATAAGGTCCAAATATGGAATGAAATTACATTATTTCAGGTTAATTTCCATTTGCATGTTTGCTTTTTCCAAGACTGACCCTGTGTTTGAGAGAACTCCAGATAAAGAAAAACTATGCAAGCATTGCTGTCTGCTGACTCTGAGTTCAGTTATACTAACGGGAACTACTTCTAGGTGCTTAAAACTTCTAAGGGTTGATTCTGCCCTACCAAACTCACGAGTCCTTCCATCCCTGCTAGCAGAATCTGAATTAGGATCATACAGCATTTTTTGTTCTTTAGATTCTGTTCTATGAAGAGAAGTCAATATTAGCATCTCTGTTTTACAGATGGGTAAAACTACCATGCAGTGAGGTGACTTGCCTACTGCTATGTAAGTGGTTATTTACAACAAAATCTTCTGACTCTTCTGATAAGCTTGGCACCTTATCTCCCTAATTCCCCTATCTGTGAATGCCTAGCTAACTGCACCAGCTCAAACCATTCTACTGGAGAGATTTGGCTGAGAAGCTAAAGAAAGTATTCAGCATATTTCCCAGGTGAGCAGTTTGTGTCACAACTACCTCATTTGTGTGGTTTTCACTTGCTTTTTTTTTTTTCCTATCTCATCCCTCTTCATTTGTAGAAAAGTATATTGAAATGCCATGTGTATTTCCAAGCAAATGCTGGATTTTAAAATGGGGGGAAGGAATTCTGAAAAATATCCCTACTTAGGAGAGCTGCTGGATTTTGCATTTGTGTACTCTGCTTATTGTGGAGAAGCACAGTAGAGCTGCCCATGTACCTGCTGCTCCATTACTCATCTGTTTGCCACAGCAAATGGTTGTAAATTGTTACAGTGGCTTTACCAGTACTGCTGGTTTTGATTATAAGCAAGAGTCTGACACTGACTCTCCAACTATTTGAAACTGCACCTTATGTTTAGGGTATCAGTGGACATAATTGTATGATACATTTCTTGACTTTGCTCTGTGCTTAGAAATGTGGCACTTGTGCTGAAATGATTCCTGCATGGGGAAAGTAACCCCAGTCCTCTTCCCTGGAGCGAACACTGCCATTCTCCAACAGCTGCCAAGAAACAAGTTCATGGCTTTACCCTGTAGGTACTGTCAGAAGTCATGTTGGGGGTGAGGGGTGGTGGCAATTCTCACTGCTTCATCTCAGGATTGTAGCTGTGCCCCCAGACCCTAACGTCTTTCCCATGTGTTTACAGACCTGTGCAGTGGTCACTTACTCCAAAGACTGGATGAGTTGAAAGGTATTCTCAGAGGGGATCATTTTCAGTGTTTACAGGATCACTTTGACTGAAACAGGGCAGAGAGAAACCCCACAATCCATAGCAAGGTATCCAAGCACAGTCACCCTTGAGTCAATGTCTGAACACATGCACTGTGACAGATGTGTCCACATACTGCTGAAGATGGGGTTTTCTCAGCTCTAGATCAGAAGCACAGCAAATAAGAGACAGTTTTGGGCTTTTTTGGTCAAATGAGGTGACTGACGATTTCCTCCAGAAGAACAGAGTCTTGCTCCTACCCTTGTTTAAAGATTGAAAGAGATAAGGACAGAGCTTGAGTACCTACAGCTTTCCCAAACAGACATTGGGTGACTTCAGAGCTTTGCAGCCTGTTTTGAGGGACGGGTTTGACAGGGAGGAAGCAGGCAGGAGCAGCTGAGAACAGGGCCAGGAAAGTAAGTTTCTTGCAAGATGAAGATCTTTCTGCAGAGGAAATCTTCTCTGAGTAAAGTTACATTTCACATCCCCACCCCATGTACACCTAAAATTAACCTACCACTTCTCTAGATCTCAACTGATAGTCCTGATCCAAACCTGGGGCTGCCATTATTACTGCCTGTGGATAGTCCCACTCCTGATCAACTGAGTGTCTGGTTCTTTTTCAGAGCATGAGGGTCATTTTAATTTTAAATGTGTCACTAATGTTTACAGTAGCTGCCTGAAGTGTTTTATGAAGAAGGATCTCCATGAGATTCCCTAACAGCACAGACCTTGAATCCAGCTGGCTCCCTGAATAAAGTATTGGTATGTGTTCCATGAGTTAATTACTCTTCTGTATTTCAGTCCTGTCACCAGTATTGGTATGTGTTCCATGAGTTAATTACTCTTCTGTATTTCAGTCCTGTCACACTCCCCTGGTGATGTAAAAGGGTTGTTACTGTGGCAAACATTATCTGTGTCATACCCTGCTGGCAGTGGGAAGTTCTTCCTGGGATGATGGGTTTCCCTGGCTTTTGGGATCATGACAGAAAGCTACAGGAGCAGGGGTGGCACGGCTGAGGTGAGGG